ATATTACATTAGCTTTAATTTAAGATATATATAAAAGTGTCAGACCTTCCGGAACACTTTCAAAATTTAAGTTAAAAAAGTTCTCTTTTTGTGAAAAAGTTGTCATTTTAAATCCCCCCTTGTGGGCAGGTTAAGGGTTAAATTTATGAAAAAAATATACCAAATGAAAGGTAATGATATCATGCATCTATATAAAAAAAAATTATATTGATTTGGTCATTTTTAAAAAAGTTATGGCAGCTATTNTTTCGAAAATTAGCGATTTTTAAATTCGTAATTTTTTTGGAGGTTTCCCCCATTTACGGGGAACGAGGGAAATTTTTTCAATTTTGAAGGGTAATGTCTTCGACTAGATACGATTTGTGATCTTTTGACGTATCGTTGAAAGAAATCGGTTCGGTGAGAGCTGAGAAAAAGTGGTAACAGACACAAAAAAAAAAAAAACACATCTTAGTAAAATTAATACTGTCTCAGCTTTGTATCGTAGCTAAAAACTAATAGTACATTATAATTTTCATGGTTAATGTTTAAAAAAAGGCATTGTAAAGTAGGTACTATATCAACTCGAATGTTTTAAAACTTAATTATTTACATTTTAATAATCTTATTATTATGATTGAAAATCAGAAAAATAATTAATTTTTGAAGATTACTAAATTGTTTCATATTGTGTTAATTTATTCTTTTGATTTTTATTGTTTGTAATTTTTTATTAAAAAGTTATAGTTTACAATAAAAAAATATAAATTTTAAATAATTCTTGCTTTATCAAAATATGTTTATTTTAAATTTTTTGGTATAGTCGTCGGATGAGAAATGAGGAGGGTTAAGTCTTTTCTCAAATTTACAAATTAGCCTTCCAAAAATTAAGCAAAATTATATGCATTGTTACCAAAAACTATTTGTGAAGGAGGAAAATTAAACTTATCCCTTCCCCCAAAATTGTGCCCATTTTTTTAATGCATATTTTACCAGTTTTTAGTGCATATATGCATACTATTTTTTAAATTTTTTAGTGCATGAACTTAATAGCCTTGCTTATAAATCGTAAAACATGTAATCGGGATATAAATAAGAAAATATTTGATCATGTTGCTTTTGAAATAATCCATCAATTTTTTTAAAGGAAGAACTATTTACAGATTTGTGTTGAAGCGTTTTTAGCTTCGATGACAAGCTGAGAAGGTATTGGTTTTACTATGATGTGTTTTTTTTTGTGTCTGTTACCACTTTTTCTCAGCTCTCACCGAACCGATTTCTTTCAATGATACGTCAAAAGATCACAAATTGTATCCAGTCGAAGACATTACCCTCAAAAATTGAAAAAAATTCCTTCGTTCCCCGTAAATGGGGGAAACCTCCAAAAAAATTACGAATTTAAAAATCGCTAATTTTTGAAAATTTTTCAATTTTTTTTACTAAAAGCTGCCATAACTTTTTCAAAAATGTTTATATCAATATAATTTTTTTTTATAGATGCTTGATGTCTTTACTTATAATTTGGCATATACTTTTTATAAATCTAACCCTTTATCTGCCCACAGGGGGGATTTAAAATTACAACTTTTTCACAAAAAATTTACTTTTTCAACTTGACTTTTGAAAATGTTCCGGAAAGTCTGACACTTTTATATATGTTTTTAATTAAAGCTAATGTAATGAACCTTATTTTGGATAAGGTTGGTATTTGGATAAATACCATATGCTATTTTGTGTAAAATTTTCGATTTTAATTTTTACGTTTTTAACTTATAATGCTATCACTTATTGAAAAGTGTATGGATCAATACGTTTTTTTTATAAGAAATAATATTTCTTCCGTCCGTTCTTCTTTCAATCCGTCTTTCATTCGACATACTTTTTTTTGAAATAAAACCATATCCCGTTCTATATTTATTTATCATAAATTTATATTTATTTATTTATTCATATATTACACTTATAAATCATAAAACTTGTAATCAGGATATAAATAAGGAAATAGAAGATCATGTAGCTTTTGAAATAATCTACCAATTTTTTTAAAATTAAACACTATCTACAGATTTGCATCGAAGCGTTTTTTATGATACTGATTTTAATCATTGTCAGATATCATCTATACTGGACCCAACTATGGCACGACCCCACTGTGCCGCCACCCCACTGTGCTGGGTTTTTTTATTTAAACTTTTTTATTAGTAAACTGTTATGAATATAGTTTATATAATATTATTATTTTTTAATGTTTTTTTAAAAAAAATTTATTGATATTTTAAATTTTATCGTTTTAATGTTAATTGTTTTTAATCTTGGCGCATTCGTTCCTATCTTTTACTGCTACAATCCACCTGATTTCTGGTCCTATAATTTTTATGTCTGACTTTATGCAGTTTTCTCATTACAATCTAGGTCAATATAAAGGTATTTTCCTATAAAACTTTTTAACATGTTAACTAGAGATCCTTGGTTAGTCCAGGGGGACACTAAGCTATTTTCTAAGGTATTAGAAATATAATTTAAAATTTAATAACTAAGTATAATTTAATTCAACATTTATTATTTTATGTTTACAGTTATTGTTACAATTATAATGTCAATTTTAACCATCATTCCATTGATCATGTTTATCGTTGGTAAGTTAATTTATTATGATTATAATTTATAGATTTAAATAAAAGAGTAATTTTCAAAAATAATTTTATTAGGGTTTATTAATCATGTCTAAATGATACACATAGATACTTTAAATTATTTTTCTATAAAACTATATTTTTCTTATTATTATTACAAAAATTACTGCTATTATAAATACTTAAGGCAAATGACTTAAGTGTACATAATAGATTGCTTAAATAAGCAGCTTTAAAAGCAAACAAATTATATTTTAAATCAACATGTAGTAGTTTAAATATTTGTGGTATGATTTTTCATAATTTTACTCCTTTCAATTATTATTTATTAAGACTTTTTCATCTCACTAATCTTGAGGAATGGTATTCCATGTCTAAAATCTGTTTAGTTTATAATATGGCTTAATTAATCTTCTTAAATTAATTTCTAATATTATAAACAAATCTTAAAATAATAATTGTAGTTTGAATTTTAGGTAGTCGAACTTGATTACGATAAATTTATGGTACCTTTTTTAGCTACATACCTGCATTTCATTAAATTAATATTATTACGATATCAACTTTTATCAGTATTACTTATTAATTTTTGTTCTTGTAAAAATTAAATCCAAAACTTTTATGAGTATTTTATATTTGGACTTGTGCATTTTTAAAAAACACGTAAGAATTTTAAATACAAAAGTTAAGAAAATTTGTATTTCATACTTTAAATACACAACTATGAGTGTTAAGTGTCTTCAAATTTAAATATTCTTGTTGAAAATTTAGTAGAAATTACAAGTTCAAGGTAGACATCTAAGAATTTTCAAAAATTCAGAAAAACCATATTATGTTTTTAATATAAACCAAACATAAAATGTTTAAGGTCATAGGAATTACACTACTAGTATTTAAATTTCATACATCTTGATGCCAATATATTTTTATATTATACAAATATATATTTTTAACATACAATTAAATTAATTAAATAAATTCAGTTCAATTGTATTTTTTTTTTAACAATCAGTTATTAATAACTTTTTTTGATTTATCCCTTATTAGTTTTTTTTAATGGTATCATATTTAAATAGCTTATAAAATAAAAAATCTAATTAAGAAAATTACTGATTAATGGATTATGACTTTTGAACCAGTAGTTTAGGAATATATTTATAACTGTGTATGAAGAGTAGCGCAACAGATAAATTCAGTTAAAAATGATTTTTTTTTTACTTTTACCCCATTACATAGGAATTATAGTGATTGATTTATCATTGATCACTAAATTTTTCCTAAAATAATAATTATTTTGAAAAAAAATGTTTGATTTTATAAAGCGTTACTTATTAATTGATTTATAAGTGGTTAAATATTTTTAGGTCTTTCCCTTAGTCCTTATAAAGGTCTATATAAACTAAATTGTTGTGTGGTGTTAAGTTATTACTTAATAAATAAGTTCTCAACTAAATAATTAATAAGCAATTTTAATACTTTTTGAACTGTTGTTTTAGAAGTGTTATATCAATCTATAATTGTTAATAATTACTATAGCACTGTTCATTTATACTTTATTTAATAAAAAATGTAATATGTATAATTTAAATTATATTACTATAGTTATTCGCCAAGTTAAGTGTTACTTTTATTAATATTACATCTTAAACCCAGTCTAATACATTACCCTGTCTCATTCTAGGTGATGCACAACAAATGGTTAATAATTACTAATGCTGCTTAAGTTATAATGTTGATAACAGAAAATTGCCCATATGTCTTGTATAAGAGAGCAATTATATTAATTAAATTAAATTACCCTTTTTTTCTATTACCGATATATTTTTTATTCCAACAAACAAATAAATTATATATATATTTGATTCCATTATATTTTTCCCAATTTGAAATAATGTCTTGCGATGTTTTACATTTTTGAACATGTTTAAAATGCCAAAGAAATAGAGTTGAGAGTAATTTATTTTCATTTAAATCCTGCCTCCCTCGAGATTAATTTCTTGCTATGTGTCTGAGATAAACAACAAAAACGTATAGTAAAAATATAAAAATTTAAGAAAATGACTATTTTATTTTATTTAAGGCGTCTTGGGGCTCTTATTAACATCATCATTTGAAAGCCTTTATGCATACTTAATTTAAACGTGTTTATTCATATATGACGCTTACTTAAATCCCAAAACAATATTATATACTCTAATCTAATCAACTAACTTATATTCGAGTGTCGTACCTTTACAATCATCAGGGACTTAAACTGTTTTCCTAAAAATCGATTGAAACCGATTTTTTCAGGGTTTCTAATCAAAACTGAAACTAAAACCACATACAACTAAAAACCGGTTTCTAATATCGAAACTGATTATTTTTCTAATCGAGATACAAAGCTGAAACTGAAACCACAAAAAAATCAAATGGTGTCACTTCCTACTTACAACACGTATGATTCTAAATAGATCGACTGAATTTTTTTATTAAATTTACCAGACCGCTCATAATTTATAAAACTACTTAATTGTGTTTTTAATAGACAATTTTAATATTTAATTAATATAATAAAATATTTTCTATTAAATTTTGATTAAAATTGTGAGTGCAAACAATTTTGCATAGAGTACATTTTTACTCTAGAGTGGTTACATTCTACTCTGGTATTGACTGTGCCACGACCTAGCTGGTTTTTGTTATTATTAATATATATATATTAGGGTGTCCCTTATTTATAAAATTAAAAAATTACAAAGTGCCACCCCCAAGGATTATTCGAATACATGAAAAAATAAATTGTACAAAATTTGGAGACGATTGGTCAACTCTAAGACATGCCCCAAGGGGGTTAAAAATAACCCCTCAAGGGTGATTTTTTAGTTTTTTTTGTCTATCTCAAAAACTTTAGCTTTTGCGAAAAAGTTTATTTGGACTTTTTTGTAGGTATACAATTTTCTATAAAAAGTATATTTACAAAAATTTTCGAAAAGTTCTTATTTAGCCCTAAAAAAATAAAACGTATAAGTTCTATTCTTACCATTAAAATTATTAATTTATAAATCGTTCATTGTAAAAACAAAAAAAAATTAATTTAACCGTTGTTTTAAATTTAATTTTCTATACATTTTTAATATTGGTTAATTTTTACGAACAATAAGAACCCGAATACTTATTTAATGAATACCTGTATTATGTGAGTTCGTTTGGTATATTACTTATTAATATTGGATTGGTAGAAACTACAAAATTTGAATCTTTTTTTTTTTGATACGCAAAAAGAAATATTGAAATAGGATGATTTAAAAAATATTTTATTTTCAGGTGTTCAATTTGTACGTGATTGTCCTTGTGAACCGCATATACCTATTTATATGATTGTTGGTGGTATATTTGGATTGATTAAAATGGTTTGGTTGCTGTGTCGCCAAGTAGAATCATTAAAGTATGATCGGTGTCAGCGACCAAATTTCGAATCTGGAGAAGATGTAGTGTCCTCTATAGGTTCTCGCATCGCGTCGGTGGCCTTATCTGTATTTTTAACTGGTTGGTTTATTTTAGGAAACTATTGGATTTTTTCTGTATATTGGCCTGATTCAGAACCTTTGTCATTATATGAACCTAATGGTTGGTGTAATCGAACTCTATATATAATAAGTTTAGTTCAAATAACTTCAGTTTATTTGTTTGGTACTGTAATCCTTGGTACTATAATTGCTGTAGTTATATTTCAGCGATGTACTTTACGGAATAAATAACATTCGAAAATAAAGTATCCATGTATAATTTATGGAAAACTGAAAGCAAATGACTAATATAGATATTTTGTCATACAGTGCTCTTCAAATAAATCTTACTCATTTTGAAATTAGTGACTATAAATACGGTAAACGTTAAAAATTTAAGTCCATTATTGAGTTTTTAAAATAGAATTTGTTTATTCGACCATAAGTTATAATAAATGACACCAATGAGAGTTTTAAAGTGGAAAAAATACAATTTTCTAATAATGAATCCATAATAAAATAAGTCGGAATACAACATTTTATGAATATAAGAATACTTTTTAAAATAAAAATGTAGTATATTATTACTCTGGAAAATTAGCAAAGTTCTGCAATTTTTTTAATTGTATTTTAAAATAATGTTATTGATAAAATAATATTCCAATATATTGTATTAATATTATTTTATTTATTAATTCGATTTTAATTTTCTGTAATTTAAAAATGTTTGATAATTGAAAAACAATGAAATTATTTTTTAAACAATTTTGATGAAATATAATAATTCTTTAAAACATTCAGTCAAATTAGATTAGAATTGGATTAAATTGGATTAGAAACTATTTTAAAACCCCCTCAATCTTCAAACTGATATATTAACCAGCTGTGTACTAACTAAAAATCGAAACATTTTTTGTAATGGAAGTGATTCTATAAAGGGGTTGTACTTTGTGAGTGTGTGTGCGTATTTGACGTCTGTATAATATCTATTATGTGTCTGAAAATAATCGTTCGTATTTTACGTCATTATTTATATTTGTTCGTTTACGATTGAATGAAGGGTATACTTGTTGCAAATCTGTGGAAAAGGCTTACTTATAGTTTAGTTATTCAATGTTTATCATTAACGTTTTCTCTGAAAAACTAAGCGTAAGAAAGAATTGAAAAACGTACGCCCAGAGCAACGGAATCAAAACACAATATATACACACCGAGGCATGGCGGCGCATTCCTGACTGGGCTAAGTGAGCTACCTAATTATCTATAGTCATTTATAATTTGTTTCATTTCTGAATTACTTTATTTTTTTTTTCAACAATCGTTGGTGGCTAAGGGAAAAGCCAAACAAAGATAATCCTTACTTGAGTTTTCAATTCAATGTTAAATACATAAAATGGAACAGGGGTTGTATGAAACCAGCAAAACATTTTCTGTTGACAAGTTTATATGAATTTGGTTATTCTATAATTTAATTTTTCATTGCAGCAGAAAAGTAGTTGTACCCATAAAAGTTAGTTAAAATTATGCTGAATTTAATTTTTAATTAATTTTAACACATTGTTTCTAAAATAAATTTATCTTAACGTATATAATAAATGTATTAAATAAATTATGATTGTATGTTTAGAACCTATACAACAAGAGTTATTAATACACAACTTAAGTATCATTTTCCATTTAAATGACTCAATTCATAAATAAGTAAAATAGAGGACCAATAAATGAATTAATTTCCCAAAATTACTTTAAAAATTATAAGCATCAATATTTAATTCAGGGAGTAGATTTATAATATAAATTAATGCTATAAATATAGTGATATTTTTTATAAATAGAATTATGTTAGGTAATAACATTTTAACCATGATTATTTATAAATATATTTAATAATTTCTTTTTTAGTTATCAGGGTATTTTAAAGTAACTTATAATATTATTATAAAATTTATAATAATATTTGCTAACAATTTAATATTATTATACATTTTTTATGAATCGTAGTTAATCGTAATACATAGTCAAAAAAGGGTTTATAAATAGGTTGTTTACTATCCATATATATATATTGGAGGAAAGAGTAATATATAAAACTTTAAATAAAAAATTTTCTTTAATTTATGCTATGTAGTTTCTGGAAAATTAAAAATGTTTGTTATTTTATTTAATAGTTTTGAAGCACTATGAAGCATTAAAAAAAAGTAAAGACATAAAATAAAATAATTTACTTGCCTATCACTTTACGTCGATGTTGTACAAATAATATTTATTTCATTTAAAACAAAATTTTGAATGAATACTATAGGTTTTAGAGGAACAAATTTTACTATCATTATATAACAGAGACTTCACAGAAAATTTTTTAAGGGGTACAAAAATCATTGACAGTAATTTAAGCAATCGACTGTTTTTACCACTGTGTGTGCTATAGAGGCGTAATCCCTTCCCCGAAATTTGTATGACAACAAAATTTTTTACTAAAAATGGTACATTTATGGTATATTATACTCATGATTACAAGCAAGAAAAAAAGTAATGTAAATATACATATTATAAAATTTTATTTGAACTTAATACATTGTCTAACCCTCCAATTAAAAAAATAGTACACACGTGCCAGCTACACCCTTAATTACGATTTATTATGAATTACCTAACTTTTACATAATATCTTCTTTAATAGAACATTAATTATTTTATTATTAATATTATTAACTATTTGGAATACCTAAGTGTAAAAATAAACAAACAATACAATTTTCTTTCCTTATCCATAGACTTGATAAAGCCGACCTGTTTCTTCTAAATAATGCTTTTATTTTTTTAATTTCTATAAGAAACAGTTGCCGCAGAATCTATTTTATGTTGACAAAGACTCAAATACAAATAATCAGATTTGATGTCTAGAATTATATTTTATGCGTTAGTATTTATTAGTGACACAATAAACTACAGGGAATGCAATGAATCCTCCTGTCCCCTCCCGACATCACTGTTAAATAACTTCTCGTGTTTAAAAATGAAAAATTATTATTTTCTTCTTTCTTATTTATTTTTAAAAGATAATATGGAACAACTTATGTTTATTATCTGAAATACAAAATAAAAATTGGATACGATTATTTTGATTTTTTTTTTATTCATATAAAATTTTTCTAACACAATTCATCAAAATGCATGGATGATCATTTTTACAGGTATAACAAAATTTATCATAAATCATAGAATATTAACTATTATTAACTGATGTACATCAGCTAATAGTTGTATTATAATCTTTAGTTGTAATATCAATTCTTAATTAATTAATCTTTTTTATATTTAGGCATGAGTTTTTCCTCTTTTTAGTATTTGAAATAAAAACCAAGATAGCATTTAATTGTACAAAAAAAATGTTTATACAAGTTTTACTTTAGAATTTAATTTATTTTAATGAAAATACTTACACTCTGTATTATAATGTTAGAGCACGGGATATGATAAATACAAAAGATAAAAAGAGGTTTTCATAATTATATTCTACAAAAATATGTTAAATATTTAAATTAGAATAAATATTCTTTTGACAAATATATTTTATTTCATACGAGTTAAACATTTTAACAAAAATATTTAAAATAAAATATGTTTCCAATATTTAAAAATCATTTGGTTTGCGACATATTGGACTAGCAATATTGTATTATATTTTAAAGATTTTAAAAACATTTTTTTGTTACTTGGGTAATATAAATAAATAAGGAAATCAAAATAAAATAAAAGTTTTAAATCCCCTAATAATTTTTGAGTTATTTAAAATTTATAATAATAAATGATTATTTCAGGCTAAAATCATTTAAAATAAAAAATATTAATTTAAAACTAAAAATTATGTGTGTGTGTTTAGCGCTAATGATGATAAAATGGTTCCTAGAATACTTATACAAGATTTTTGTCGAAATTTTGTAGTTAATTATTTTTAATATATTTTTCATTTTAAATTTAAAAAAAATAAATATTTTTTGGTAAGCGAGATTTGGTATACCAAAAAATGTATAGCCTCTTTTTATAATTTTTTTATATTCAAGTAATATATGTTTATTTAAAAGACACAGAAAAAATGAAACAAGAGTTCTTCGTATTTATGTTTTTTATGATGTGTAAGATTCATTATCACTCAATTATTATTCATGATTCTATAAATAAATTACTTATAAAAATATATTTACTTTAGTTAACTTAATATAGTTTAGTCTATTAAAGTTTATTAGTATTATTCATTACTCTGTAATACATTTGAAAAATATAGTGAGAAATGCAAGACATTTTTTGTTTAATTATTCATATTCGTCTAATTTTTAACATAATTTTTATATAAATAAATTACAGTACAATTAAAAATGGGAATATTCATATAAATTAGTTAATGGAAGAATATTACGTACATTGAGGTAAATCGTAATAATTCGTACATCTATTCACAGCTGAAGGTTTTATTCTTTGATTTGTAGTCTTTAAAAATGACTAAAACATACTATATGCTTTAAACTTTTACTCCTCCGAATATTTAAATTTTACTGAATTTCAATAAATGAGAACTGAAGAAAATGTGATACATAAATAATTCAAATATTTATATTTGATTATTTGATTATCTGGATTTGACAGAAATGTATGTAAAAACTACGTCTTTTCTCATATCACTTTAATTCTCAACTTTATTATCGGTAATACAACGTTATTTTCATTTTTATTAAACTTTAATAAAACAAAACACAAAACAAAAAAAAAAATTACTTTATGTTATAAAGGCAAGTATTTTCAATCTATAAGTCGATGTTTTAAACAGTCATTTTCTTTAACAATAATGTTTATACAAAAATAACAATAGTTCTATTATGACTAAGTAAAATTCATTTTTGTGTAACTTTTGAGTGGCTCGTGAAAAATTATAATACAGACTCTTCAATTGAGCAAGATTTTTAATTCATAATAAATACTCCGGAATGGAAGGTTAGGCCGTTACCACAGTGAAAAATAATTCATTTCGATGAATTAAAATGTCCATTATTTTGTCCAAAATTAAAAATCCATTATTATTCAGGTTGATTTCTCGTTCAGCAAAGGAAAGCTGACGTGAAAATGTGCGTTAGGTACTGTAGCGTTACAACTTGGTCATTCCGTCCTTCTTAAGTTAAATAAAAATTAGTTAATTATTTTTAAGTATATCAACTGAAAACCAATAAATATAATCTAAATATAGTATAACACATTTAACCTTTTTTTTTTTAGGAATAATAGAAGTTATACTCTTAATTTTAAAATTCAAATTTATTTTTCCTTTTTTATTTTTATGTATATTTTTATTTGACAGATGTGAACATTTTTATAAATCTTATTTCTAATATAACATTATAGATAATAAAGTAAAAAATATCTTTAAGTAAAACACCAAACTATATTTATATTAATTTTATAAAACTTATTGAGCAAATAGAATATTTTAATAATTCTTATATGTACATTATATATATTTGTATGATATTAATCAATAATAGAGTTTATAATAATTGCGTGTGATTGTGCGTTAAAATATAATTTAATAATGATTTAAAAATATGTTATAGTTATATCACTGTTTTTATGTGTGTAAAATGTAAGTCAAATTAATATACCTGGAGTATGATTTACATTAGTGATATTGTTTTGTATTTTTTAACTTGCCTATTTTCACTTCCTTTTCAACGCAAGGCAATCAAGAACATGAAATGTCAATTTTATTTACTATCGAGTTATTAGAAGTGAAGTCGAAACGTGATAATGAGGGTGTAAAATACAAACTTAAGTAAGCAATTCGATTATTTTTAATTAAAAACTGATGTTTATATAATTTTTAATGAGATAAATAGTAATATATATATATGTTAATTTTACTTTTCATGTGTCTATTACTTGAACTGCTATGTGTTATTTTCTCCGATATTGTACAACTATAATTATTCAAAGTCGAACAAAAAATTTCAAAACATTTTTAAAACATTTTATTAGTATAGAATTTATTTTTCATAAAAAGTAAATTCCAAAATAAGTGATTTAGTGGTCAATTACTTTTATATATTAATTTACCAAATTATCATTTGTTTTTCACTTGGCGAACAAAAACGTAAAACTTGATATGTTTAAAGATATACTGTTCCATCGAGTAAAATAATCTCAAATTAATTTATTTTTATTTAAAAAATAGTCAATTTTATGATATTATTAAAATGAACATACAATTAAATAAATAAATAGTTATAATAGTCATCATCATAGCCTCTATTCCAACTATTAGAGTCGGCTCTGCCTTAATGATTAGCTGACCTGACGCAACCTCATTATGATTAAGAGAACAATAATAAACCTCTAACTTCTCAAAAATTAATTTTTCAATTTTTATCAAAATTAAATTTTTTTTAGCAAGATTAGTTCCCAATTAATACTGCTCAAATTAATAAATCATGGTTTGAAATTCAACACCTTGTTTTAGGTGGCCAGCATATTCTTCCGAGCTAATCATTGAAAATGTTTTGGAAAATATTGTCTAGGCATTTTTTTAAAGGTTCAGGACAGTTTAAAACAGTAGAAGAGTTAAAAAAAGCAATTTTGGAATCTTCCCCAAAAACTATAAAAAAAGTTATTCACTTTTAAATATTTAACTAAAAAAAATTATAAAACAAGATTTTTGCAATTTTAACCTACCTAGTGTATTCCTTTGGCAAACTCTTACTCTATGTACAATGTCTTACTCCTACTTATTCTTAATCACTTCCCTTCAAGAGCTTATCTCCTTACCTCTAGCCTTTGATTAATTTACTCCCTATATTCTCTCGCTTAGGATAACTTTTTCAATCTTTTACTTTCTACCACATAAAGTAATCAATCTATGATCCATTACTTCAACTCTGTTGTATAAAGTTGTATAGTGTTGTTTCCTTTTTATAAAATAAGTTTTAATCACAGTAAGATCATACAGTACTGCGAAAACCAGGATTGTTGCTCTAGCCTTATTCTTCTCACTAAAACCAAACTTTCCATGTATTCTTTCATATCTACTTACTGATTCTTACTTTGTATCTATCTCACCTATACAAGAGTCCAGCCTAGAATTTAGTGATTTCCTACATCGTACATACTACAAGTGTTGTATAGGTCTGTATACAATACTGGTGACACAGCTACCGTACAAGTTTTCTATCTGGTATCAAACACTTTCTTCTTACGAGCGTTATTTCTTTTCCATCTTTAACTACTTTATTTCCTCTCACCTGTTGTCCCTGCGTACATCTAAGATAAAAAATCCGTCAAAATTTTATCCAGAACTCTTTATACTTTTTGACAAAATATTACACAGACTGTCAACCTGATCCAACCTCAAAACTGACAGAGGGGTTGTGGAAGCATATCCCCTTCCATGGGGAATTTTTTCAAAAAATAATATTTTTCAATACATAAGAAAATTACAAAAAAAAAAATGGAGTAAAAATTATTAGATTAATTTTTTAAATTCAATAAATAATAATATATAAATGTCATTTATTTTACAATATGTATATATGATATTTTTTTTTGACGCTATATTTTTATAAACTTTGAAATTGATGTTACACTAACACCATTCCTGAAATAAATTAATATTCTACTTATATTATTTAAATGTATATTTGGAATATTCCATGTAATATACAAGACTATCTCTCTAAAGTACTACAAAAAGTAGTATAGAAAAAACTAATAAATCAATAAAGTATATTAGCTTCGATGCGAAGCTAAGAAGGTAATGGTTTTACTAAGATGTGTTTTTTGTTTATTTTTTTATTTTTTGGTGTCTATTACCAATTTTTTCTCAGCTCTCACCGAACCGATTTCTTTCAATGATACGTCAAAAGATCACAAATCGTATCTAATCGAAGACATTACCCTTAAAAATTGAAAAAAATTCCCTCGTTCATGAAATCATGTAAAGGGTCAGATTTATAAAAAAAATATATCGTAGTAAAGGTAAAGACATTATGCATCTATAAAAAAAATTATATTGATTTGATCATTTTTAAAAAAGTTACGAGGGAAATTTTTTCAATTTATGAGGGTAATGTCTTTGACTAGATACGATTTGTGATCATTTGACGTATCGCTGAAAGAAATCGGTTCAGTGACAGCTGAGAAAATGTGGTAACAGACACAAAAAAAAACACATCATAGTAAAACCAATACTTTCTCAGCTTTGCATCAAAGTAAAAACACAACATAGTAAAATTAATAGCTTCTCAGCTTCTCATCGAAGCTAAAAAAAATATTTTAAGTTTTTTTCTCTGATAAACCTGGTTTTAACTGTCCTAAAACAATTCTGAACATCCAACTCAAGTTAAAATCAGAATATTTCAAAAATTTATTTCTTATTAAACCTAAAAAAAATGTGAATTATTTGTAACTAAACAATTATATAATGTTTGAATAATTTCACATAATTTTCATTATTGCAATCATGTTTAAAATCTGGGTTTTAAATTTAATAACATCTTTCACAAAAGTTTAGTCTGTCCATGAACATTCAACTGTAAGCTTATTGGTATACAATTTTAATAAAATTCTTCAAGCATGTGTCATTGCATCAATACTCTCGAATGATAAAAACATATTTTTCTGTTAATCATCAATCATGTAAAAGCTATATAAAAATTTTTATGAAATATTTAAATATCGCAAACTTACACATTTTTCTTTGCTATTGTTATCAGTTTACAATATACTTTTAAATTCTACTACACTCATTTAGATGGAAAATGGAAATTTATTAAAAAACTATTGATCAATAACGTTTGAGAAACTGATCCTGGTACAATTTGAGAAGTCTATCTTGTTGATTCATCTCTCTAGCTGTTTATTTGATACAATACACATTCATTCATCAAGCGATTAGTTACTATCTCATGTAGAATATTTTTTTAAATTACTGCGTTTCTAATATAAAACAAAAATCCATCATTAATAGTATGGGAACAATATTAATTTAGCAAATGTGTAGTTCTAAGGCCATTCTTATGTGATTACACTGCCAACTTAATCCTAAGACTCTCGTACTAGATGGGAATTACGCCCCAACGGACGTTATCTTAAATTAATTTCGATTTGCATTCAAAACCACGCTTAAGTAGGTAACAAAGAAAACACTATTGTTGCTTAAACCAAAATCTAAAAAATATTAAAAAAAAATTAAATTAAAAATATCAATTTTCAAAAACATTTTACATCAATATGCTCTGGCATATATGATTTAAAGTGATACATAAATGTTTTTCTAAAAGAAACATATAATCTCAAAAATATTTCGTTTATTGCTATGTGGACTGTTAGGACGTCAGTATGCGTAGTACACGTCTCATTAATTTTCTGAAATTTAGTTTAAGATATTAGATGGACTAATCAAGAAATTTAGTAGTAATCCTAGCACGTTTCCTCATATGTAAATCTAAATACTTCTTATAGGCAATTGAACTCAGTTATAAACTTTGTCAATAATGCCATAAGATAATTATAATGATAATTTGCATTTTAAACATTATTCAATGATTTGAAGCAGAAAATTAATTTAATTTTTTTTTTTTGAATTTCTTATTTTTCCTTCTTGGGAAATAGATTTTATTTATTTTAACAACATGAGACAGACTTTTACTTCTTTAGTAGTATGTTGAACTTATTCATGATATTATCTTCATGTTACAGAATCAAATAAGTAATCGCAATGGATTAAAATGGTACTCCCGAGACGACAATATAACATTTTTCTGTAGTATAATATAAACTCCCGTGATGAAAATCTACAGCGGTTAAACAATAACTCTATAGAGTACAATATATTGTGCAAATGGAAAACTTCAAATAAAGAAAAAATTAAAAACAAAGACAAATGTATAAAACCCTAGTATAATATACGTTTATACATTAAAAAATAAGTAATCATATAAAAATAAATATGGATCAAGTAAGGAAATGTCATTTTTTTAATTATTTCGCAAAGATAAGCTTATATGTATGTCATCCAATAATTTGTAAATTAAATAATTCAAATTTAAAATAAAATTGCAATATGATTTTTGATTAATATAATGTTCTGACAATTTACAGGCGTTATTATTGGTAATTCTTCTTGTTAAAAAACATAACAATGCATCTCAGTGTATTGATGACAATAGGAAATTTTAATAAGACTGTTATTTATGTGTCGTCTGGATATAATACAATATTTTCAATTGGTGATCAGCAAAGATTTGACAAGATTTGTAACAGCCAGTGGCTATTTACATTTGTGGTATCCATTATTTAATGCCCATGCAGCCATGTTACCAAAAGCTGTTTAAACCGGATTTAATTGTACTGTGCTACTGTATACGTTTAAAAAGGAACGCCCCTTCTTAACTGGTTTATTAATTGAAAAGACCCTTCTAAATAACACTTACTTTTTATGATACAACTACAAATGTGATATTAATTTTTCAAACATCAAAAATGGCATTATTTCATATAAGTGAACCAGCTACAAAAAGTATTATATAGATTTAATTTTTATAATTCTTTAGGTTTAGTTATAATTTCATTTTACGTATATTGGATAAAAACATAACTTAATAGGTTTTTAAATTTTGTATTTCTATTATTATAGTATTATAAAATACAGTTTTAAAGGATACATATATTCCGAAATATGTTGAAAAATTTAAATGATTTAAATTATACATTCATATTGCAATGTTTAATTCCTATCCCTTACACTAACAAATGGTTTGATATTAAAAAGAACGTATCAAAGTTTGGTATTGTTTATCGTTTAATTAAATTTCTAAATATCTTAGTAAAAATTAAATACCTAAAACAAAAAATATAACAAAAAAAATTAAAAAGTTACCTATAAAATAAAGTATAACCACCTATCATATTATTGTTGATAGTTGTAGACAAAAAATTATTTATGAATTTTGTATGCGTCTTTAATGTTTATGATATACAAAACATTTATTCTAATAGTTGTAGAGATTGAATTAAGAGTATGTTTATTCATAAATATGGATAACACGCCTTATCATATTTATCAGTAATAGTTTGCAGCGAATTTCTATACCATTGTTATTATTATTACTACATTAACTACCTCTATTACGGTTCCCAATATTTATCAACTAATACAATAAAGCCTTTCTGATAGTCAGCAGAACGTTCATGGTACACGGAGTGGTGAAGCCGTGTTGTTAACAGTAAACACAACTACCCTCACTAAAAGCTAGGAAAAAACTTGCACGCGTCCAGTAATTATTCTGGCACGTGACCAATATGTACGTTAGACATATGGTATACGTTTTACTGTATGTGTCAGCACCGAGTGCGCATCATTAATAATAAATACACCATACTTAAAATTCGGCAATAATACTTCATTCATAGATACCAGTTTTCCGTGTGATCAAAATGGAATATTCTCATTTACATGGTTCACCGGTTTTTGTGATTCTATGTCGTGCGCATCAGTAATAATAATTGTAAATAATAATTGCGTATCGCATTATGGTATTTTTTTGACAGTTTTCCTGTACAAAATGACCCGAAACGTAATTTGACGATTCAAACCATGTGTAAATTATCTTTATATATAATCAATAAATACATTATACGATAAATATGTGTATACATTATATATTTACTGTTGAAAAATCATATTTCATAACAATGATTAATTTATACAAATCAGTATTTTGACCATTTTGATGTCATGATGATTTCTAAATTTTTAGACAAATATTTTAATATTTTAAAAATATTTTTTTTATTTTAATTTCAAGTTTAAAAATAAATACTAACTAGTTTTAACTAAATCCATTTGATTAATTCGTAATTTATGAAATTTCAATTATCTAATATTAAGAGAGTATAGGAACTTCATTTTGATATATTTAGATGAGTTTAGATAAAAAATGGAATATTAAACTAGTATTCAGACAAAAGTGTCCAATAACTTGATATTATATATGTATTTATAATTTTAAGTAAATTATTTTGGTCTGGCAGAAATTTAGTTTAATAAAAGTTCAATACAATGCTATTTCATTTAAATTTGAAGTATTTAAACTTAAGAAAAGTTTAATGCGAATGAAAAAAATTTTTTATGCAGTAAGAGAAGGAAACATCATACAAAGGGAATAATAATAGTAGATCAAGCCATCTATTTTGACTAGCACTTGTACTCTATTTTTTTTATTACAAAAAAACGTCGACAAGTTAGACACATGAATGGTTTCATGTGTCCATATATGTATCCAATAGTTGGTATGTGATATTTAAATTAGTGATAGGCCTTTTTGAATATTTTAAACTATCGAGAAGTTTTGAAAATTATTCAAATATAAAGTGTAACTTTTGAATATTTTTACTATTCGAATAGTTGATATTTGAATGACTATCGAATAGTTCGATAATTACTAATCAATATTTCCAATCACTAATTTAAATACGCTAATATAACTCAATTAATCAATTTATTATCTTTTAATAATGACTGATATAATATTGTTTAAATAGTTATTTGTAAAAACTATTTGGGTAAATTATAAAAAAAAATATTCGACATATTCGAAATGTATAAAAATGTATACAAAGAATATATATTAAATTTTAAAATAAGATTCAAAAGTTAATAGGTAATGTAAATGAAAAATAAAATTTATAAAATTTTTGTAAAGATATATAATTTGTATTATGCATGTCAATTTTTATTGGCGTAAGTATACATGTTTGAGGGTATTCATTTTCAAAGAATTTTGTTTTCCTCGTATATCAGCAATGCACATTTTTTTAAGTACAAAAAAATGCATTTTATTTTAAAGAGCAATGAATTAGCACACCAGAAGATATCAGCATGTGAATAATACTATATCAGAAGATATAGTATTATTCACATGTACACTAATAGAAAATTCACTAGTGATATTCTTTTGGAATTCAATTTTTTAACTTTTGAGTCATTGTGTCCGTCTTATCAGATTTCACTATCTATGCGCTTCGTTTCCTCATGGAGTAAATATCGTTGTACTATTACTTTTTATCATCACTATTTCAATCATTACTATTGTAGTATGAATGAGTGAGACGTAAAGATGAATGCGATAAATATATTTTTGTATACGTGTATTTTTACTATAGTGAGCAGAACATACTGATAAACTAAAAAAGATTTTTTTATTTAGTAAAATAGAAGGGTTGAAAAGAATAAACTTATGAACAAGCTTGTAACGTTTTTTTTAGCAAAGATAAAATGTTTTTTACATGAGGTAGCGTATAAGCATATTTCATTTTATTAAATGATGAGCATTAAGTATTTTACTCGAATGTGGTTTTTGTATCGATGTGTGTATAAATGCTTTGTACATTCATCGTCTGATGCTGCGGGCAGATATGACTGAGTGAAATATTTGAGTTTTTGAAAGATGGGCCCCAGTGCAGGTAAACATAATATAGTAGAGAGTAATAATACAATGTCTGGATGAATGAATGGTAATGCAAACAAATTCTTATGTGGATAGGTAAAAACAAGTTAACCCGAAAGAAAAAATTAAAAATAACTAGGGAAATATTTTTAAAAAGTAATAATCTTTCGATTGCATAGATTACAACTTAGGTATTTACAATTTAAACGAAAGAAAAATCTGAAATTTGCTATAATAATAAATGACTATTGACTAGAAATCTATTTCCTCTATTTATAAATGAATAAAATAAAGACACTATTAAATTGTATAAAAATATTATCATTTATACAGCTACATTAAATAATTGACAGAGTAAATACTTTTTAGATCCATTAATGGTTATTTAATTTGTTTTACAAAATAACCCCTGATTATATATTAATTAAACATTGAATTTGCGTTAATCCCAAACACTCATTAATTCATAAGTCCGCACAATAATCTACACAAATCGGTAATTTAAACGATGGCTTGCGTGTATTCCAATTAGATCAGCAGGAACGCACTGTTGTAATGTTTTACAACATTTGTGGAATAAGTAAAAAATGTGTAAAACAGCTACTTATGTTAATTATAATTTCAAGAACAGTTTAGAGTAAAATAAACTAGTTATCATAGGAAATATTTTTTTAAATAAAAACATTTATTTAAAATTACTCCATTTACTAATGTTTTTATAGTAATATTTTTTGCTAAAAAAATATTATCTTTTACAAAATTCAAAATAATTTACACAATTGCATACAAATTGTTCTGTAACAGTACGATAAGTTGTAATTTAGTAACATTATTACAATTAGACTTTTATTATTTCATGATTGTAGTATACAAACTCTGTGGTATTATTTGATCGACCCACTTTTCGTTTCCATGGTTGCAGCAGATCATTTCAATAACATAAACACAAATGATAGTTGTCCCTCGAACTCAAGAGGAAACCTTGAAATTAACTTTAAATCACACTACACACACACAAATGTTGTGTTTGTAGTTGGTAAGTTCACAATGAAAACATCTTACAGTAACGCTACACTATTTATTTTCATTATGTTATAAATATAAATATTATATGTATTTACAATAACAAAATTATTGCAATTAATATTATTGTAACAGTTAGAGTAAAATTGTAATTATCAATAGACTTCGCTTGATAGATCTCCAACGGAGACCAAAGGGCATTGGGGTTTAAGGAATTATTGTTATGTGGTAGTGCAGCGTTTCTAAAAAGAGGCCTTAATGACAGTAATATTTTTAGAGATAAATTGTTTCTAATAGTTTTCTTGTGCAATTCAAATAACCGGTAATATTGTAAAATGCCCCAACATAATTAGATGACTTAGTGAAAAAATTGTGCATTTACATTGAAAAAAGCTTTTGGCGCACCATTCGAATGTCTTTAGTGAGGTTTTGTAAAAAATCCAGATGTCGAGTCACATGTTTGACAACTAGCGTGTTTCTTAAAAGATATGGTAACTTTTAGAGGTTTACAGAATAATAAAATAATTTCTGATCTTTTCAAATGATTTCCCTTAAATAAATTGATTAAGCTTTTTCATTGAACATTTTTTGAAAATCAGAGTATGCTAAGAAATCTTTCTTAAGTATTGGTATATTTTTTATTATAAAATTCAATAATTATTTTTCAAAAGCTGATGCGCCAATTTTAGTTTTTTTAGCAAAGCAAAAACAAAAATGATTTTTTTATTTTAAAACATTGAATAATATTGGTATAATAACTGCTCAGCTTATGACAGTAAACATTTTCTCTGTACAAATTAAAAAAAAAAAATTTGAAAACTCATTCTTGTGATTTATTTGGATTATAAACCAAATAACGGTTTAATTTTATTCAAAAGGCTGAAGTTCAAATATGTCGATTTACATAAGACGACATTGGCATTTTAAGTTTGTTTTTGCTCTACTGTAAAATGTATAAATTTGACACTTAGCTTTTGAAATATAGTCACTCAAATATTATAATCTTACTGTTTAATAAAGTGATAACATAAAAA